GTGTGTGTGTGTGTGTGTGTGTGTGTGTGTATGTATATCAGAGATGGGGACTCGTGACTCAGACTTGGGCTTGTGTCACACTTAATTCCCTACTATTGGAGACTTAGACTTGACTTGGACTTGGACCCTAAAGACTTGAGACTTGACATTGACTTGTGGTTTTAGACTTGCGAACAATGCAAGTCTTTTCACTGCCCAGCTCACGATTCTCACTTCCTCAATACACATCCATGCTCCGCTCCTTTGAGAACAAAAACATAAAGTTTTAAGAGCAAAGACTCCTGCTCTCAGTTTGAAAATACATATGCTCTTGACAAAAAAAAAAAAAGAAAGAAAATATGTGCTCTTGATTAAAGTCAGAATAATTTTTCCATACACTCTGCTCACCCTCACCTGAGAATGGGAGGGGCCAGCTCCGTCCAGTGTTAATGACGTGTACCCTACGTGACAAACAGAGCTTCAGCATGACAGGTGTGTTGCAGTAGGCCACTCTGCTGCCATTCATTATAAGCTTTGCTTACAGATACTTTATTCAACGTCATCCCAAGAGACAGGCAAAATGAAAAGTGTGTGGAGTCCAAATCCAAAATTTGTTCTTGTGATGACTTTTGCAGCCCTTTTACTTTAAAGATTCTAGTTCATCATCTTCGCTGACATGCCTTTATGCTTTTAAAAATGTTTTTTTCTGGTATTTTATTGTAAAATCAGCAGCAGACTTGCTGGATTTGTTCTTTGTCAATGAAAATATATAATTACAGTATGCTTTCGTAAGACTACAAGCGCAAAATACAGTTAACAGTACTCTGAATGCTTGATTGTTAATTCAGCCTTAAYCTTATCTGTATTATCTTATCTTATCTGTATTTTTCAAACAGTATTAGGTTTTAATAGTATAATTAAAACATAATACTATGTTTTAATATTTTATTAAAATATAGTACTTTAGAATATAACCTAGTATAGTTAGAATATCTTTGATCAAACTGCCAGTTAAGTAATATATGCAACTAGACATGGACTTGAGGTCAAGAGACTTGGACTTGACTTGGACTTGGAGCTAAAGACTTGAGACTTGACTTGGACTTGCAAAATAAGACGCGCACATCTCTGATATATATATATATATATATA